GGGGGGGGGGTGGCGGGGGTGGGGGGGGCTGGTGACAAAACGCAGCTTCAAGACTGCAACTTCCAGCAGAAGCCTTCAAATCCAGTTCTGTCCCCGCACCAAGAGTGTACTATACAAGAGTGTGCTATACTTCTCCTCGATGAAAAGTCATTCATTCAACTGTAAAGGTTTTGGGGGTTTGTTTTGTTCTTAAGGGAGAGCAGGGAAGGTTTACATAATTCAGAGTTGGCCCAAGTGAACCTGGACTTCAGACGAGTTCACGGCCCATGAACGCGGGCGAACAGAAACGCCCACTGACATGGCCCCAAACCCTGTGAGGGACATCATCCTCCTCTTAGGAAGCAGGTACATCGCAGGCCGCTCGCGACCTCCTCTCTGGACTGGCTGAGTTGAGAAAAAGGCGGCCCGGCTCAGAGAGGGCAGCCCTCACTGCCATTATTAACAGGTGAGGCTTCACACAGTCCTGGCCAGACCCCGAGGGCTCACTGTACCCTTTCCCAGTCTCCCAGCCCAGGATATTAACCCATCATTTCCCCCTTCTGGTTAGGGTTGCAGATGGCCGTCTTACCAGTCAGGTCTGTTCTAGTTTTGCTTTGTTGGCCATGATTAAATCGGTGGGAACCACCCTGGTGAAAAGCATTCTACCAAATCTCCTATTGCTGAAATATTTACAGAAATAATCCTGCTGCCCCAGGGCTAGATTATGTATAACCCCTTCTTGCTGCAGCCAGGTTGTGAGACTATTAAACAACATACTCAAATACATCACTCTTAAACCAAGTGGGGAGATTTAAAAAGAGGGATTTTGAGGGTGGAAAAGAACTTATATGAGGGTGATTTAAAAGGTTCATAGAAAAATTCTATTTTCAATTCCATTTTCTGCAAACCTCCAGCAGTACAGTGGAGCTATTTGGTTGGAGTGTACATCAGCAATTACATTTTGGGAATACAATCTCCTAAAAACACTTGAAATTTTACCTCACACACTTTCTCAAGGGTTGGCATCCAAGAGGTGGCAAGGTGGCAATTCTGAAGAACCACCCATGTGCCTTCCTTGATAGCTTTCTCCACCATCTTCATGGCTATGGGCCCTTGACCTTGACCAAGAGACAGAGAGCTGAGCTTGGATCCTCCATATCCCTGTATGTGAAAATGGTCAAGATGTATGGAGACAGCACGGGTCTGGAAGACTCAATATAATGAATGCAGGAAACTGAGCATTAACTATATTACCATAAAATTATCTAGCATCACTCAAAGGTTTCTAAGTGTAATCCAACCGAGTGCCAAGGGAGGGATAAAGTTTTCTCTTTCCATCACCCCTTAGGATGTCAATTATAAACAAAGTGTTAGTGCTATTTTTCATATGTGTTCACATATACACATATATCCACACATAAGTGGGCTTCAAAAAGTTTATAGAAAAATTTACTTAAAAGATAATGGAATTGTTACATTCACTTTTGAAGACTCATGTTACTAGGGGTTGGAATCCACTCAGTGGCAGGTTTGGTGTGGGTTTTTTGGTTTAATAGCAGATAATACCATATGCTTCACGGTACCTGGTCATCAGCAAATTTCAGGAGCGCGGCCATGGGGTCCGCCCCCGGCGAGAGCACGAAGATTAACGGTGCACAGCAGTTACTGTCTCCGAACGCCTTCGCCAAATCGAAAGGCGGTGGCTCAATGAAGATGCGTCCCAATTTGTTGGTTATAAATTCTTGTAACATTGGGATAACCTAGACATGATAATACATTTGAAAGAATTAGTTTAATAAAAATTTTAAAAATTAGTTTCATGAAAATCAGTTAAAATTTTGTTCAACAGTTCAAACACAGTGGGGATTTGAAACAGGACTTTAGCTACTGGAACTAAGGTATTCCTTAGCACTGGCAGAGGGTCAAAGATGCTACAGCTTAGAGGAAGCTTACACTGCAAACTCAAACTCACTTCCATTGAGTTGGTTCTGACTCAGAGTGACCCTACAGAACAGGGTAGAACTTCCCCAGTGGGTTTCTGAGACTGTAAAGCTTTATGATAGCAAGCCTCATCTTCTCCTGTGGAGTGGCTGGTGGTTTTGAACTGCTGACCTAGCTGTTAGCAGTCTAACACATAACCCACTATATCACTGGCACTCCTTAATGCCTTTTGTGACTGTTTTCGTTAGGTACCCTTGAGTAGGTTGAGACATAGAGACCTTATGTACACCAGAAATGTCTTCTAGATAGGGCAGACGCCTACATTTTTCTTTGTTTTATCCCCTTCCCACTAAAGAAGAAAATCTCGTTCTAATTCTGGTGTCAATAGTCATAAATCTAACTTTTATTATTTCAATAATCCTTTTTAGGTAGAATATAATCTAAGTTGTTTAAATAACAAGAGCTAACTGGGTGATTATTGACACTGGATTTCAAAAGCAAGTTCTTCCTTTTGACGAGTATATGAGACAGAGTGGGGGAGAGCTGAAGTTACAGGAGCGCTGCGGTTTAAAATATATATCGATTGTATCCCCGAAACCAACAACCCCCAAATAGAAATCTTAGTGTAATTTGTGCGACTTTCCCCATAGCATCAAGGGGGGAAATGACATAGCTGGAAGAGAGCGAAGCGCGTCGTGAAAAAGAAATGAGTCATACACCCAAGAAACAGATGAAACTATGGTGCATTTTCCCCTTTGATAACGTACCTGAGTATTTTCTGAGAGTGAATTTGAGGAGAGCAGAACTCCCCCTTGGGGTCTGGGGGAACTGGTGGGAGTGGAAGTTTATTTCTAGTACAACTTGTGCACATCCACTGTCCCGTCTCTCCAATCAAAGCCTAACCCAGTATGTCTGAGTGCTGGCTCCGGATTATCGGGACCCGGTGAAGACCCGAAAAGTGAGGAAGGTGGGTTAAGCAAGCCCTGTATCCCTGTATCTAGCTATCAAATTATGTTAAAGTTTTGACTTCTAACTAGGTAAATCCTCCTTCTGCGAACATTCTTTGTGGCTGCCTGCTTCCCCGTCATCCTGCCGGTTGCCTCATTAAGGGGCTCAATACAACCCTGAAATGTGCTCACGATGAATTTGCTCTTTCAGCACAGTCGCTGAAAGGAAAAGCACCGCAGTGGAGTGAGGCAGGCGTGGGTGGAAGGCGAAGAAGTGAAGAGACACATGTACATTCCTCTTGTCTTATTCTGTTCTCCTGGGTCACTCTTAGTTTTGTTTCTGATTTCTGCTTTGAGACTTTTCCATAAAAATGAACTTGCTAAGTTGTATGCTGAGTAAATTAACTCACAAATTTTTCTGATTTTCACTGTACTTCACAAAGTCAAAGCATTTGTTTGGTATCCGTGTCACATGGGCACAGAAGCCACATAAGAATAATTACAGATGCACCCTGGGAAAGTGAACTGCAAAAGAGCTCCTATAATCAACTAAGATAGCATTTAACCCCTTCAAAATATCTTTGGGCCTTCCTTGCACTGTTATCTATAGAATTTTCTTCTTCGCATATAAGAGGATGAAGCTGAATTAAGTAACCTAGGCTAAGTATGACAAAGTAACAATTTATAAATTATCAAGGGTTCATGAGGAAGGGGGGAGCAGAGAGGCAGGGGTAAAAATGAGGAGCTGATGCCAGGGGCTTAGGTGGAGAGCAAATGTTTTGAGAATGATGAGGGCAATGAATGTACAAATGTGCTTTACACAATTGATGTATGTATGGATTGTGATAAGAGTTCTATGAGCCCCTAATAAAATGATTAAAAAAAAGAAATACTAAATTAACTACATTATAATGACTATTTTAGCATAATACTCTTATAAAAGAGGGCTTCAAAAATCCATGAAAAATTTTAATTTAAAAATAATAGAATTTTTCTACAAAGTTTTTAAAGGCCCCTTGTATATCTGTCCATTTCATATACACTTGCTTGAATGAGATTTGCATTCAAGTTTGATAGACTACAACTAGAAACATACGTGTGAATAGACCTATGAACACATTTCTTTAATCATCTAAATTCAGTTTACCTCCTAAGTAGACTTATTCCCTCTGCTGAACTACTTGAGTCGATCCTCCTACCAGGGCCCCAGCTCACACACCCATGGCTTACTCCAGCCGGAAAACAAATTCCCTTAATAACCAGTTGGTTAAAGACAAGTTCTATTGATAATACCGATTAGTCTCATCAGAAAAGGAGCCCTGGGGGCGTATCCCCAAACTTAGCTTTGGGCTGCAAACCATGAGGTCAGCAATGGAACCCACCTCCAGGCTCTGAGGGAGAAAGATGAGGCTTGCTACTCCGCTGAAGATTTACATCTTGGAAAGCCTCAGGCAGTTTTGCCTTTCCCTAACGTGTAGCTAAGAGTTGGAATCAACTTGTTAGCAGTGAATTGGATTTGATTTGAATCTCATCAGAGAGCCTTCCTCAAAAGGTAAATAAACACAGTAGCTACGTATGGGCTCTGCGGGGCCCTTTAAAAGCAAGGCAGATAGGGTTGGCCCAGACAGTAAGGCTGATCGTTTTGAGTATTCCAAAGCTGTGCTCTTGATAGATTTGCCCCACAGGACTCTAGGACAGTCCATCTTTCCGTGGGCAGAAAGCTTTATCCTTCTCCCATGGATGCTCTGGTGAGCCGGATGGGGCTTTCTACTCCATAGCAAACAGTCCCGGTCTTGCAAACTCACAGGGACCGTTCTACCTGTCCTTTAGGCTTTCTACGCGTCATCACTGACTCAATGGCAGGGAAGTATCACTAAATTATTTGTACCCTCACACAACTTAATGATGAGATCCATACAATAAAACAATATTCTACTTGCTCTCCAGAGATTAACAAACAACTCTATGTCAGGATAGCAACAGAGATCCTAGTTTGAGGGGGCTTCATATATCACAGAACAATTCCATGGATAAAAAGTTAAAAAAAGATAATGGAAGTTTCCACAAGCTGTTTGAAGCCCCCTTTCGTGTACCAGCCTGAGTGAATGGTCAATTTCACCTCAGAAATAAGAATAAAAATGAGACTACAGCATGTGAAGGAAGTCGACTGTGAGAAACCACGGGGACCATGAACATTTGAAAGAAATCACAGGAGAAAGAAAACTACACAATGCAATGTGCTCCATATCTTATTCACTGTATTTTAATAAATATACAAAATTTTTGGAAAATGGCTACCTTAGAAGGAAGTGGGGCCTTGCCACTTCTCACATGATTCATAAGGACATACATCACCAGCTTAACCATGTAGAAAAGAAGAACTGGAATCATTGAACTAATTTCAATGCCCGCCTTTACCTTGTCTGGCCTCAAGCAGCGAATGATAAGCATCCTTTGAAACTCATTTGCTTTTTCTTCCCAACCATCAGGGAAAGGCTCATGGTGTGGTTCCTAAAATATCAGTAGGTAGAGTTCAATGTTATTTGGAAGATTGTTTTTAAAGGCACAGTGTATTTTTCAATGTAATTTATTTGTTGGGAATATATACAGTATGTTTCTACCTGTCCCAGTTAGCGATACAGCCAGTCTTCCCATTGCTAAATCATCCCCACCCTCTTTCTCCGAGTTGTGCCTCCCTGGTTGGCAGAACTCGCTGCTCTCTGCACGGTTTCTATCTCATGGTTTGCATTGCTGTTGTCAGTTTGATCCCCTGGAGACAGATCTTCAAAGCATGTAATGCTCAAGCAGACACGCTTTACTAGTTAAGCTAAACTACGGGTTGGTTTTAAGAAGACACCAAGTGATATCTTTGGTTTAAAGCTTAAAGACGAGTTCAGGGGAGTCATTTCAAGGGATTCAACCATGGCTCAATTTCAAAGTCTGGAGTCTATGAGAGTTTGCAATTCTGTTCAGCATGTTACCATTTGTGATCGGTATTCTTTTCTGGAACCTTTGATGGAACTGTTCAGTAATGGTAGCCAAACACGATCTCGTTCTTCTAGCTCATGGCAAGAGAGACAGTTGTTCACAGAGGCAATTAGTCACATACTCTGTTTCCCCTTTCTGCCATTGCTCAGAGAAGAAACCAATCGCCATGCCCAGGATGGCTGCTTGCAAGTTTCTAAGACCTCAGGCACTATGCAATCAACTAGGAGCTAGAAACACTAGTCATTATTAGGCCAATTAATTGGTAGGTCCTATAAAACCACGACCTTAAACCTCCAAACCAAGAAACACATGCCATGAGGTTTTCTGTTGTTCAGAAGCAGCCCCAAGCACTTGTTTTTGTCACTGTAAATCCACCTTTCACCCAAGGCTGCCAATTCAAGTTTTTACAGGTGCACCACTGATTGTTGATCCAAACCCACCATGAAACCTACTGCCATCAAGTCAATCAACGTTTCCAAGATTGTTAATTGTTGTGGCAGCAGATTGTCCCAATTATCTCCCAAGAAGGAGTGGACGGTCAGGTGGAACAATCAACTTTGTGGCTAGAAATTCCACCTGACCGCACCAATAATCACCTTTTACGCCCCTATCTATCCTGACTGATGCGATTTTCTTCCCCATTGAGAGAGTAGCAAAAAGGAATACAACAAATACTATAAATTCCAGAAGGGAAACTGTGAGTATCATGGTAGGTATCAACCATATTATTCTCCAATTAGCAAGATAGTCTCATTAAAATTGTTAAATTATTAACTTTTCTTTCTTCTCAAATGAAAAAAAAAACACTTATTAGCTTACATCCTGCACTCAGGATGTAAGCTAAGTTAAACACTAGCAATTTTGTCCATTTTAATGCATCTGCTGTTATAATTGCCAAAATCAAAATTGACAATACAAAGTGCAGCAGGCACTTCAACAAGAACATTTTTAAGAACCCTGAATTTAAGCTTTATTTTGTTTTATTCTGCATCCCCACACATTTCAAAGAATGTGGAGAGAAGTTCAAGTGGAATTTCTAATTTAGAAAGTGTGGATAATAAATCCAAACGTTTATATTATTTTAACATCACACTGACTATCCAAAGCTTATTTGAATCTTGGTTTTCATAAAGGTTACATTGATTAACATGCTTTTTCTGTATTTGAAAGCTTTTGAATACGAGGGCTAAACACATACCAAGCTATCATATACTTTTTTCCATCCATCCTTTAGGTGCAAAAACTCCCTACGAATGGTTTTGAAGGCAGGTAAATCATCCAGTCGACAGATTTCATCCCAGGATTTTTGAGGAAGCCATGTGCAAGGGTTGGTGTGAGGGTTATCCAGTCCGATTCCCCCGGTGAGCAGAAATCGCCACTCGGCTTTATTAATCTTTGGGAATAATGCAGCAAGACGCGTCAGGGATTAGGAAGACAGAGAGGTGGTCTATTCAACTTTTTCAAGAATTACACGAACAAAGCCTTCACCCTTTCAGAATTCACCCAGGCATCACCATGTGAAACCAATCAATAGTCATCACATTATGAATTTCTTTTTAAAAATTCCTACATTTTAAATGAATATGTTAAAATAAAACAAAAATGTATAAAAGATACCTTTGAATCCAAGTGGCTAGATGGGACTAACTTGCACAAAACAAGATCTCCGTGGACACCACCGATACACGTCTATTTAGTTAAGTAAGTTTAGATGCACCCTCGTATGAAACGCTAATAGAAGTGACTGGCTTTGAACTAAAACATCAAGGTTGAAGTACTATTAGCATTAAGAACTCCGTGCTTAGCTTACTTTGGCTTCAATTTCTGATTTGGGAGTTAGCTTCCTGAAATGAAAATTTGCATCTTTCGCCTCTGTGAGTTTCAAAAGCCAGTTGTGCTCTGTTGTCTTCCCCATAATAACACTTCAACTACTTTGAACCCCTGGGAATCGGTAAATCAGCATCAGTATCATGATTATGTTTTCCCTACACAGGAAACCCACACTGACCGCATGATCATGTATGAGCAGATTGACGGTCAGACAGAAAGAAAACAGCAGTTTATCCTTCTCAAACAGCGACCGGCAGACGTTGACGTAGAGGGAGTACGTAAAATGATCCTTGAGAATTTGAAGCCTGAGGGTCAATAGAAATAACCATGGATAAGTAAAAACACACGATACTTTAAGGAAAACCCCCGTGAGAAACTATCACAAACTACTGACATAGATGCTTCTCTACTAAACGTTCTGGTCAATAACCCTCCACACAATCAAGGCTGGTCGTTAACTGGATGCACCAATTTGAGAGCTATGTACCACAGAAACACTTGAGAAGAATTGTATTTTACTGTTGACTGACTTAAAAAGCACCACACACACACACACACACACACACACTCTCTCTCTCTCTCTCTCCACTTTCCTTTTGAGAAAAACAATCCACATATGTTGTATTGGTTTGTTGCAGTAACAGACCTATGAACTACAAAGTGTTTCCTTGGAGCTAAAATATTTTCCATTAACAACTCCTTCATTAAATTAGCATTAAGTTGGTACTGTGATACACGGCTTATAAATCTATACAAGCCTAACAAATCACAAAATTGGAAGAACTACATCTTTCACTACCACATAGGTGAAAAAGGGGCATGTGAATGATGACAGCAGCATTTCTGCTTCACAAATTTCCAGTAACTGCTAGCCCATGTGATCAGTATTCATAGTAATATTTAATCAATGAATACAACACTTTAAGCATTTTCACATAATTATTTCATTAAAAACATATATTATCCTTGAAATCACCCTTCAAAATATTTTTTATTTTCTAGCGTATAATAGTTATGATAGAAATGAACCTTTGGCTAAAACCATTTTTAGAGAGTTTACTATTGGCATGAATTAATAGCCCAAACTTTCTAAGCAGGTTAATTTATCTGAAGGAAAATCAAAACCCATAGTCGATTATAATTGAGCAAATTATGTTGGCGTTTCTTAACCAGGGGGAAAAATCCACCTGTGCAATCAGATATTGGCTCTCTGAACACTGACAGATTATGCAATAATCTTCCTAGCTTTATTTTTTCTCCTCATGTCTTCACTCTTTGCTATTTCCTTATCTATTTTATTCCCTGGCAGCATTGCCAGTGAGGGAATTATAATAAATTGATGTTGGAAATTCTGAAACAGGGCTTGGTAGAGACGGCCTTGGAATTAGTTACTGAAACATACTTGAATTCTTTGCAGATTTAAGATAATCGTACAATTTCCTATTTCCTTTGTCATGCTAATAGGCAGTCTTTTCAGCCTTGGCATTTAATTTGCTTTAACCCAATAGTACAATTAATACGGGCTAACTCATATTTGGTCTTTGTAGATTAAAATAAGTTTCTGCACTTTAAGGTAAATAGACTCATGTAAATGAAAAGCTTGAAGGGAAGATTATAAGGGTCAATCATATTAGACATTCAAGTTCAATCTCATTAAACTATGATTAAACTGTGCTATAAGTATGGTGAGTAAGATACGATAGTTTAATAATCTTTTACAGTGGAAAAGAAGGTGAACATTATCATCTTCAATGCTGACAACCGATGCAGAGGTATGAGATCATTCATCTTCTACGGATGAAGTTGTACATTTAAATAACCTCCCAGGAGAAAACTTTATATCAGGAATCTGGGAGAAGTGGGCACTTTTTGTCCTAGTTCTGGTTTCTAGCCTAAAGAGATGTGGACATGTATATTTATCGCAACAGTATTTATAGTAGCAATAGCTAGAGATGATTTAGATCTTATAATGAGAAAATGATCGTATATTCTTGGGATGGCATATTGTGTAGGTACTAAAAACTATGTTTCAGAAGGTTACTTTGTTGAATGGAAAGTGATCTTGGTGGAAAATAAAGGAAAATGAAATAAATTTCGGTGTTTGTCGATGTATATATTTACATGCACATACTATGTATATATGTCAACAGAGCTCAGTTTTGTCCTTTAACAAAGATATATCTAGTTAGATTTTTGCTTATGTGTTCATTTGCTACTTTATTTATTTATCAATTTTGCCAAAGTCCTGATGCAGTAAAAAAAATGTATAACAAACACATGCTATTAATGATTATCATTATTTTATAGCACACCTATCATATTGTGCTATATGTTTGGTATCATGCTAGACAACTATTATTACTATAAATAATTTTAAAAACCCCACAGAAGATCAGCAAAATTTAAATGTATTTCTTTTTTCAGAAGATCAGCAAGATTTAAACATACTTATGTCTTAGAATCAAAGGAAACAAGAGACAAGTTTACCAATATTAAGGTCGCAAAACAATTTAATAGGCTGGTGTTAATAGTCCCATGCGTTCTCTCTTAGCTACCCTCACAGTCCAGTGTTTATCGGTGATGGGCAGATCAACAAAGGCCTCTGCTGAGAACTCCTTTTCGCTCTAATTTCTGATGTGGCACTTAGCTTACTTAAATGAAAATTCTTATTTTACTAAATAAAGTTGACTGGCCAAAAGATTCTCTCTTGACACGGTTTCTGTGGAACGCTGTTTGTTAGGAGTTACCAAAACATAACATTTGCATCGCCTAGAACTCTCAATTCTATTCCAGGACATACAGCTATCCGAAATGTATATGCATATCTTTGCCAAAAACCATACACACGGTGCTCAAGGCTGCATGAACTTGAAACTATGCAAATGTCCTCAACAGTAGACTGTACGAGTGTGGAATGCGCCCACCCTGGAATAGCAACCAGCAGGGAGCGGGCACTAACCACTGCCCTGTACCCAACCAATCTGAAGGAATTTCGCCAGCGTCACACCCACCGAGTGCGAGAAGCTGGGAACAAAACACATCCTGTGTGATTCCGTTTATATGAAGTTCTGAAAGAGACACACTCAATCTCTGGTGGCCTCAGTCAGGACCGTGGCTGCCCTGGGGCCGGACTGGAAACGGGAATGAATGAGCCTTCTGAGCTGTTGTTAAGGCTCTGCCAGTTACACAGGTGTGCTCATTTAGTACAGTGCATTGAACAAATAACACCGGTCTCTGCACATTTCTGCATATTAATACTTTAATAAATGCTTAGTACTCCCCAATACATACTTTCTTGGATCCCTCCAACCACCTTAACACTAAACTATGCTTTTAAGTTATTTATAAATTAAAGGAGTCCACTAAGAGGGAAATGCCACATTTTGTTTCAAGTGCATACAATTCTCACATCTGAGTGAAAGTGGATTTGACTTCCTTTCTATCACAAGGGTCAGTCAGGAAGACAAAGACGCCGCATATCAGATGAGTCCTAGTTTGAAGTAACAAGAGCTGTAAAGAAAAAGACCTGGTATAGATAGGAACTGGAAATATAGGGAATGCAGGATGGATGAGCCCTTCAGGACCAGTGGTGTGAGTGGCGAAACAGGGAGGGTAGAGGGAGAGTGGGTAGAAAAGAGGGAACCGATTACAAGGAACTGTGTGTGACCTCCTCCCTGGGGGACGGACAACCGAAAAGTGGGTGAAGGGAGAGGTCGGACAGGGCAAGATATGACAAAATAACAATTTATAAATTATCAAGGGCTCATGAGGGAGCGGGGAGCGGGGAGGGAGGGGAAAAATGAGGACCTAATGCCGGGGTTTAAGTGGAGAGGAAATGTTTTGAGAATGATGAGGGCAATGAATGTACAAATGTGCTTTACACAATTGATGTGTGTATGGATTTTGATAAGAGTTGTATGAGTCCCTAATAAAATGATTTAAAAAAAAAAAAGACCACTGCTTATTCTGAAAGCAGAGAGGTGTTCTGCCATTTTAAACTTGAAAGTGAATTTGTCTTTGAGTGGCAGAGCAGAGGACTTTTCTTCTCTGGATACCAGCAACTACCTTGAATTTCATTTTAAATTACTTAAAATGGTAACATTCTGGTGGGAACTGTTTTGACCAAAGCAAATATTATGATCGACAGCTAAAAGAAGGAAATCATTTACAAGGTGGCTAAAATGTAATTAGTACTGTACAAAATTCTAGGAATAAGAATAATAAAACACAACACAATGAAATGAAATCCTTGCCCTTGGAGAACTCAGAATCTAGTGTGATAAACCAGACATGCGTGTTCAATGAACTAACCTATGATCAAATGCCTGTCAACTTTCTATGAAACATCACTAGACCTTGTTGTCTTTGCTTCAGTAACCCTTCTACACTTGAAACGTTCAGGAAGGAGGAGGGAATGAGAAAAAAGCTTTTTAAAATAATATAGTAACAAGAAAACAGAAAACTTTACACTGTCATCCTGCACTTCCTTTCCCCCCTATAGATACTTTCTCCTCTCTTTTTAGCCTCCACGGGTGGGAATCTAACGTACTGTCTGTCAAGCAAACAGCTTCAGTGTTACACCTTTATTGTCTCACATCACAAGCCTGAAAAAGAATGAACGACACTAAAGTTTTTTTGCTCAAGCTGGGAATATTTAAAATTTCTGACCTCTGCCATGACAAGTGAACAGATTCCATTCAGATGTCAATGACGCTAACATCTTTGATTTCTAAAAATATACTTTCTAAGGTGAGTGATACCTTCATTTACAGGTACCAACAGTCAAGAAATGGAAACATCTAGCTTGATATTTATCATAAAGTTATAAAGGGCACAGACTGCAAGGAGTTACTTTCTTCGTTCATTTTAGACATTGAGATAAAAAATGTTTAATACCAAACTAGGAAAGTTATCTCACGAATTAAAAATCAAATGCAAACTTTATTCTCTAGTAAACATGCTATAATACACAGTTATAATTCTATTCCTTATCATAACAATCAACAATCAAATAAAGTGTTTTACTTAAGTAATTATAACACAAAAAAGAAGCTCTCTATGTGCATATCGAAATACGAATCTTAACTTTGGGAATGAAAGCTCACAGAAGGTGAAACTCACATTGTTTGTATTAATTGTTCCTTCCATACCTTCAGTTACTGGTACATTTGTACAAATGAGGACACTGATGTAAATATTTAGTTTTTCTGGAGTTGCATAATAACCCTATTATCTCCGTAAACAATTTGCTGGCAGGCGAAACCTGGCCGCATCTGTTCAATTTCTAACCTTCTAATTCATTTCTGGTACGATGATTAATCAACTTCATTTTAGCTCAGTGGCCGTGATGTTTGCCCCCTTCTGAGACAATAGTGAAGCCCGCCAATTACACCCTGATGGTCATGCATTCATGAGTAATGAGCCTGTATTTCTCTTACATACCTTTTTGATAGGATTTCTGATTTCTCGGAATTTTCAATAGACAGGATGAAAAGGTTAATGAACCAGGTCAGGGAGTACTGGTACATGGGCTCGATGCTAGCCAAATCCGCGATGGAGAAAAACAGGATGGTGGAGTGGGTGGCGATGGGGTGATAGCCCAGGCGGGTGGCATCAATCTTTTTCTCTGTCTCTTCGGCTACTTCCTGCTTCTGCGAAATCTCATCAGCCAAAGCCTTGGAGGAAGATAATATCTTGATGGCAGTCTCATCTTCCAATATGTTGCCTTCTGAAGACGAAAGGACTTCTAAAATCTTGTCTTCTATTTCCTTTAGCTGCCTGAAATAAACCACAATTTTCTCAGAAGCAAAAGGGGTTGTGGAAAACTGCTTCACGTACACATTCTTATAAGAAACAAAGAGCCTGCAAATCCAAAGGAACGCATCTCTTTGTGGACAGATATCTATAATGATGACGGTGGGTAATTAATTCTTCATCTGCAAAATGTCACCAAGACCATCCTTTCTGCTCCCGTTCTCTCCCTAATGATCATTTAGGGGTGACTGGAGAGAAATATGATAAGCCAGTCTAGTCTGCCATCAAGTATATTATCCTGGAGTGAACCCCAAAAAGTATCACCCCCTTTACTTTCTGAAATGTTGCATGATTTACCGAGCCTTAGCCTATCCATGGTACAGATGTCATGGGGGGATAGTGGAATGCAGTGCTGTCATTCCGGAGGAGCTCTGGTGGCACTGGCCATTAAGTAACTTGCAAGGTTGGCCGTTCAAACCCACAAGGTGCTCCACGGGAGAAAGGCGAGACTATGTGCTCCCAAGATTTACAGCTGTGGAACCCTCTACAGGGCTGTGGTGCATTAAAACAGACTCATTGGGCAGTCAATGAAAACAGATGACCGCGGTTAGAAAACGAATGCTAAACTCTTGTGTTACCACTCTGTTGAATCGATGAAAATGCACCACTGTGACTTTGGCAGATCTTTTAATTCTTGCGGTGGCTGAGAACTCCACATCAAAATACGGACTATAATGAATGCAAAGTCACCGCCACCGAGTCAACCTCCATGACCACACAGGCATCCCACCATGCACCTGTAGAATCTACCAACAGAGATCTTTAAAGTGGACTTCAATGTTCATGCTAATAATCTTGAAACAAGGAAGCGCCATTCTGTGTTTTATAACACTTAGAACCTTTTGTTTTCTGCTCCTTGTAATATCAAAGCTTGCTTTTCTTCTTCAAGGTCTGGCCTTTCTCTTGCCACCACAATTCCCAGAAGCTGATCTTGCATGCCCTCAGAAGTGATCATGAAGTTCAACAGTGTGACCTATATTGGAAAAAAATAGACACACATAGATAAATCATATTACTATTCCCATCAGCACACATACGCACACACACATATATATGTGTGTGTGTGTGTGTGTGTATATATATATATACATATTGCTATTCCCATCGGCAAAGTCTCTGCTTATTTGTGTCAAGTTCTAACTCTAAAACAGACAAATCAGCATGTGTAGGAAAAGTGGGCTATTCATGGACAAAGTAGTTGCAACAATGGGCACAAACAAAGAGACAGTTTGCAAGGATGGCTCAGGACCAGGCAGCGCTTCAAAGTGTGCTTAAGGTTGCTGCAAGTCAGAAGCAACCTGGCTGAACCTAACAAAAACACTAGCAACAACGATAATATGCGGGCAACGGTGGTTCTACCGTGGTAGGATTCTTGCCTTCCATGTAGGAGACCAGGATGCAGCCCCTACCTGCTTGTCAATAGAGAGGCATCTCAGTGGAGCTTTCAGACTAAAACTAGATAAAAAGGCCTGGTGACCCACTCCTCAAAACATCAGGCAACGAACCCCCCGGACAATAGAGCTCCAATCTTGATGTCCCTGGTTGCCAGGAGACAAGGCTAACTCAATGGCAGCTCACAACAACAATGCGATGGAATATACAGGAAAGTACAAAGATTGGATTAACAGCCCCCAGAGTCTAGGAAACACCATGGGGCAGTTCTATCCTGTCCCGGAGGATCCCTGTGAGGTGATTCGACCTGATGGTACCCTACAAGAGAAATATTGCAACAATAAGATTTCTCAGAGACTGAAATGTAATACTTTAAAGTTTTTCACTTGGTGATCAATTTGTTCTTTTTGCAAACTGATCAAATTTCTGACAACTCTTCAAAGCGAGAATTGATTTGAGTCAGATTGGTAGGTCTCCTTCCTAGTCTCCTGGATTAGTTGATTTCCATTTTGAGAATCATAGCTTGTCAAAAGGAAAGGGATTTTTACAAAGTGAGATAAGAGAGACAAGAACACCCTGTAATTACTTGTCTTGAGTAATGTGCTTTTGCAATAAGATAATCAACCACCATTGTAAAGGAAAGAATTTACATTTCAATGGTGTCTATCAAGATGCTACCTGCTAACAGGTCCCTGCCCCCCTCTGATTTATAGCTCCCTAACTCTTGGTAAACATCCTTGAATCCACTGCCCTAGAGCCGATTCTGACTCCTAGTGACCCCATGGGACAGGGTAGAACTGCCCTTGTTGGTTCCTGAGGCTGTCAATCTTTAAAGGAGTAGAAAGTAGAAAGTCTCTTCTCCCTCTAAGGGACTGATGGGTTTGAACAGCCAACCTTGAGGATAGTAGCTGCTGCAGCGGCAGCAATGCTTAATCGCACAGCACTACCAGGGCTCCCTGGTCAACGTGCTATGATCTCTCTTTTGAAAAAGCAAACAACAAGCAAATCAGTCCTTTCATCTCACCATTCCTTCAAGCTCTGGCACTCTCTTTAGTGTTACACATACAGACGTCATGAGATGTGTATCGGTAATTTCTACCTCCGTCTCAGTTCATTATTCAGTCCTTGGCAATCTGTCCCTCCTTGCACCTCCCACACAGCAATAAATGACAGAAATGTTCTTCCTCTGGTCACCAATATACCTAGCAGTTAATAAGCACACTTGACCTTGGCTGAAGGAGCTCTGGTGGTCTAGGTGGTTATATATTGTGCTGCTAACCGCAGTTAGGTCAGCGGTGAAAACCCACTCTGTCTTTGCTAGACAAAGATGAGACTGTTTGCTCTTTGAAAGATATACCTATAACCTCCTCCCAAGGGGATGGACAACAGAAAGGCGGGTGAAGGGAGACATCCGTCAGTGTAAGACATGAAAAAAACATTTATAAATTATCATGGGTTCATGAGGGAGGGAGGGGGGAAAATGAGAAGCTGATACCAGGGGCTCAAGTAGGGAGAAAATGTTTTGAAAATGATGATGGCAACAAATGTACAAATGTGCTTGACACAATGGGTGGATGTCTGGATTGTGATAAGAGTTGTATGAGCTCCCAATAAAATGATTTTTAAAAATAAGAGATTTAAAAAGAAGATATACTTTCTGAGTCCCTAAGGAGCAATTCTACCCCATCCTAGAGGATCTCGATGAATTGGAATCAACTCGATGGCAGTGACTTGGGTTTTGTGGGATGTGACCCTTAGCTGAAGTCTTCCTTCCCTCAAGTTATGTCCTCTGTTTATATACGGACACCATTCTCTCCACTTTCCTGTGACACGCCCCCCCCCAACCCACCACTTTGTTGATTTTGCACTTGATCTGCCCTCATGTCTTCTTAAGGTCTGCCCCTGTGTCGGGAGCATCGTTTTCCCAACAGTTAACACACCTTTCACTGAGTGGAACTGCACTCACGGTGGATTCCCATGGACATCTGGCACCTCAGACACCGGCTCTGCTTGGGGTGGATCTCCCCCAGCTCAGCGCCTTTCAATGTGCAGATGTGGGGTCACCTTCTCTTGGACACAATTCTAGTCCACGTGCTACATCCCTCTTCCCACTCTGGTTGCTTCCTTCGTACGAGTCCTAACTCCTTTGCAACACGCAACATCGTGTGTGTCATCATGAGTTTACTTCTCTTTCTCTTAGACTAGAGTATACATAATTCTATCAAAGGGGTTCTCTCTTAGTTGACCTCATGGCTCCATGCCTGGCACCAAGCAGATTCTCCCTACAAGCCATACAATATAAGCAACCCCTGTTCATGAAATTGGTTTCTGCTATTTCTGTTTCCTTAAATCCTAGGCCTTTGATGATTATTCAACAAGACCCCCCATATCTCTGTTATACGGTAAAATGAGATAGTGTGGATTTCTTCCTTAGGAATCTTAGTTCAGTTTGGGAAACAGACGCGAACCTAACACTCAGTCAGATAAGGACTGTGGTAGTTCAGTGACAAACATCAGATGTCATAGGAGTGCAGATGGTGGCATCTAACCCAGGCCAAGAGATCAAGGAGGACTTCTCAGACAAAGAGCCCCGAGCTGCACTTCACAGGCAACGGGCCATTAGTCTTGAGAAAGGCGGCAGCAAACTGAACAGAAGTCACTGCCATAGAGACCCTACAGGACAGCACAGAGTGGCCCACAGGGTCTTCGAGACTATGAGTCTTACAAAAGCAGAGTGCTACTAGTACGCATTCATTCTAGGCCAGGAGTTCGCAACGCTGGCTGAATATCAGCATCACCTGTGGAGTTTCAAAAGTACTGAGTTCTGTACCTCATCCTCAGAGACCCTGCGATAAGTCTTCTGGAGTGGGTTGTGGCCACTAAGGTTTTTGAACACTCCCCTGCTCGTCCAGGAAACAACCCTGGCAAAGGGCAGCAGCGCGTAAGGGAGAGCAAAGCACCACAGAGGAACAAGGGCAACTCACGATCCCATCATTGGAACCCATACCAAGTGGACTCCTCAGAGTCTGTGGGTTGTTGAACACTTGCTGTCACCCATATCTGAGCTTCACCTCATCAGTGTGAGTACATCACTTGTGAAAGCATTACCAGCATTGTCAGCAACTTCTAGAAACATTGAGAGGTGACTCTAGTCCAGTTTTCAGCCTTTCTCTCGCAAAGAGAAATTCCTAAAGAGGAAGTATTTACACTCATCTAAGACAGGACTCTCTAGGTTAAAGACACTTTGACCTTAGATTGTTTTTCATATTCTATAGTACAATTTAACTGGACTGGAGCAGTTAAAGGATTGTCACTTTTGGTCTACATTAATCTGCTGATTATTATTATTGCCTGTTTAAATTAGAACTTTAAAGCCAGCAGAGCCAGTTGAAAACAACAACAACAACAAAGGCATCTAGCAAACGACTACACATGCATTAAAATTAGCCCCAGCACAGCACACAAGCTTATGACAAGAGTGCCCCTCTTTGTTCTACTACTTATTTCCCCCAAATTCTGCTAGTCTACGGAGCACCTTCTGTGGATTAAAATCAGCATGAGACAAAGAAGCTCAGGGGCAGAGTTCATCTTAAACCCCACATGCCCCCAACTCCACCTTGCACCCCTGCTTTTGTGCTGCGTACAGAGAGGTGACCTGCTCTCCTTCTTAAGGATGGCCACTATTTCCCCAGCCATGGGAAGATTTAAAAATGGGAGCAGGGCCCATTTATTTTCTTTCCCTTTGGTGGTTTCACCTGGTTTATACATGACCTGCCCTGCTAAGGCTCAAAGGTTTCTATTCTTCCAATCGGAAAATAGACAACGCAGTTCCTAATATTGCTGTTTGCTTTGGCTTTTGACCCATGGACTTCTCGTGCTGGCTGTGGGGTACCGAGAGTCCGCTGCCAAGGCGTCAGTCCCATCTCGCAGTCACCCTCTGGAGCGCAGCGGGGCTGCACCTGTGGGTGCTCCAGGCCGCTCCTCTTCACACCAGCACACAGCCTCCTCTTTCTCTCGCAGAGCTGCCGGGGCTGGCGAACTAATGTTTCAATTAGCAGCCTGCTGCCTAAACCACTAGGCCAGCGGTTCTCAACCTGTGGGTCGCAAGCCCTTTGGGGGTCAAACAACCCTTTCACAGGGGTCACCCGATTCATAACAGACGCAAAATTACAATTACGAAGTAGCAACGAAGATAATTTTATGGTAGAAAAATGAAAGGGTCGAGGCATTAGGAAGGTTGAGATCCACTGCCCGCCATCAGGCTCCTTGACTGCGGGGTAAGAAATGCATTTTTCTACTCTTAACGACTACTAGATGCTACCTCTCCTGACAGGTGAAAAGGACATAGATATTAAAGAATTTACATGGTTAGATAATATATGAGACAATGACCATCTTAAGTTTTGAAATTAAGCGATTTGAAAGAACGCGCTCGATGCCTTACGTAACTCTCTGCCGCTCTGGCAATTCCACATGGAAGAACTCTAATAAATGTTTCGAGGGATTTTTCCTGTTGGTGTGAGAAACCAAGCACACAGGTTATGTTGACTTTAATCTAAAGGCCACAGGCACCGAGTCGGCAAAATGCATGTTTTACAGCTTTTACTGCACTGTAGTCAGTGCCAAGAAGGCAGTCATTCATACTCAATTAATGTTGGATCTTTCCAAATCCATTCGCAAATCCAAATGCTCAGAGTAAACATTTAAAAGCACACAAATATGGTTTCACAATTTTATTTCCATTTAGACTCAAAAGGATAATGGTGGTGTGACTCCATCCCTTGGGTGCCTTTGAAAGCAAAAGGTACATAAAAAATCCCAAAAATAGGATCAAGAGGAAGTATTTTAATTTGTAAATGAAAGCAAGTAACTGCCTCACTATGTTTTCTAATCCCTGTTTAATCAATCCCAGCAATTAAAAATAATGAAGCAATAAGACACTCTGGGGACCATAAGGATTTCTGTACTGACTCATACATCACTTTCTTCCGCACAGTTTTATGACTTCTACTATCACCAGTTATTAGTGAACTAAGATTTGTTTATGTGGTGTGTGAAATATTTGCATATTTTACTGAAAAGTAAAAAAGGTTTTCGTGTAATTTATTTTCACATGCTTGGGCTGGGGAACAGCTTTTGGGAGTCTGTCAACTGCGGTTCATCCTCACTTTATTTAAAAGTTAAATAATAATACCACTAGCTAATGCTGATCGCGAACCCTACGTGCTGGCCCTGATTCTAAGCATTGTAGCAGGAGGGAACGTACTGAATCCTCATCTCACCCCACGAGACAGAGCTTTTTGTTATTCCCACATGTATGGATGAGGGCCGGGGGCATAGAGAGATTAAATAGCATGCCCACAGTCACACTCACTACTTTAGACTACGGCCCCAGGACTTCTGAGGCCAACCTCTACGCTGGGGCTGAATATTGGCTCGTCCAATAAATGAAAAGGTAATAGAGAATTTTACATGTGAAATAATATATAATATTAAAAACATTGAATCAAGAATTCCATATTTTCACATTCTGCTTCTAAAACTAAGCTCAGGGGTTACCCTAGCTCCCCTAGGTTTATGTCCTCCATGTCCAATCAAGGGGGTCCCCAATCCAGAGCTCCCAGGGGCACCCTATAGCTCTTCTCTGGCTCTCTGGTCAGACAAGACAGCCACCATGTTGCCTGTACATTATTTAAAATGTAAACCTCTTGAAAGCAGAGGTTATATTTTATTCATATTTGAGGGAATTAATTTCGCCATTGTGGTCCTTCTTCTGTGTTGCAACACAAACATGTCTAGGTTAATTTTAATATTTCTAGTGACAGAGTACATATGAACTGCTGGATGAATCTTGCCTCTGTTTGTGAACCTCAAAATCAGAGTCACTATTTCTTAAGGTCCTCTCTCGGTTCCTTGTCCAAATTAAAGCATTTTTGTTCCTGCTGGCCTCATTCATTTGGTCATTCATACGAGCAGGCCACAGTCATTTACTTAGTGCCAACACAGGGAATGCAAAGAACTGGGACTAAGAAGAGGGACCAACAATGACCCCCAGCCTTCAGGGGCTCTGTTGCGGGGCGAGCGCTCAAGTCACGTAATTCATTGGCTGAAACTTTAAACCAACTTTATTCTTCAAGGAATTTTCTGGACTTTTGAAAAAAAACCAGTGATAGAAAATAGTGTCTTTAGGAATTATACAAAATTGGAAAGCAGTGATCTGAATCTGAGAAAGAAGAATGGATTTCTGTTCCTGAATTCCAATTCCAACAATCAGCATATTACCACTAATTACAAAGGAAGAATGTGAACATATGCTATCTATATTTAATGAAAATCTAAGAATAATGTGAATTGGAGAAGTTAGCTTCTTTGGTCTTTTTCATGGCACAGCGAGGGCTTCTTAATTACCTCCAAGCACACACAAGAGCAACATTTGGAAACTGTTATGCAATTTTATGAAAAGTCCCCCCAAAAGAGGCAAAATCCACTTTTCATAGGAAATCCTGCTTTTCTCATGAGTCAGGAGAAAAATATCATCATAAACTGTCAGATTTGACTAAGTTGACGAAAGAAACATTTCTTTTCATTTTTATACTGGCCTTTACTGACGTTTCCGGAAGATAATGAGGGTTCCGTAGCTTGGTGGTAATGTAGAAGCGGAAGTCGGGTGCATACTCAATGGTGGCGTCTCCGAGGCGGATACATATGCTCCCACCCTGCTTAAAGGTCTGTTTGAGCAGGAGAGGCTCCAGAATAGGATCTAGCTCCTCGCCAATATTTTCGAGCAACACTGGAACAAAATCAGAAAAAAGACTCCATGAGATAAATGTAGGCAGTGGGCACTCAACCGGGTTCATTCAGCCTTCTGACTTTCTTTGTTGTCCCTATTTGCCTACAAAATCACTTTTCTCTCTTCTGAGAAAGGAGTCCCCAAGTGGCACCAACAGTTCTCGCACGCAGCCGTTAACCACAGGTGGGACACCCAGAGGCCCTCTGAAGAAAGGCGGGGGGACCCACGTCTGGAGAAACAGCCTCTGAGCACACCCCGGATCACAAGCCCACTCTGGCACACGCAGGGCTCTCCTGCACGGAGCACAGCTGACTGGAAGGCAACTGACGACAGGAGGAAATGGTTCATGGAAAGAATTGCGTGTCTGTGGAAGGCCCTTCACTGGTAGATCTACCAGGTGGTCTTCCCCACTCTATACCTGTTGGCAATAGGCTCGCAGGATGTTCCACCTCACCGTGTCTAATGGCAGCGAAAATCCATCCTTTTTAGACACCTGGGAAAGCTCCTTTCTGGCGACCACCGAGTGGCTACTTCATTGTTATTAGTGTAATTATAAAAGGGAAACATGCTTGGGGGGGGGGGGGGGGGCGGGGGGCATCTTCAAAGTGGAGGGAAGTATAGAGAATTGAAAACTTATTTCTCATCAGCTTACCTTACTGTTTCTCTTCTTCTCCTGAATATTTTATATAAGTGAATTGTACAATATATATATGTATGTATATGAAGGGAAAAGATGACACAAAAATAATGCAGCTTGATCATTATTTAATAAGTTATATTTTTCTCTTCAGTGTTTTTATTCATCCTTTTCCATACACTGTTAAGATTAAACAGCGGATATAATTTTGCTCTACATTATGACATAGCATTTCCAATTGCTACTACAAGCGCTCATAAGTACGCTTTTACCCGTTGCTGCTGAGTGCTGCCCACGGCACTTCCACGGCTGCAATCTTCACAAAAGCAGATTTTCACAGTTCTTCCAGGGAGCAGCTGGCGGGGGTTGGGGGGGTTGGGGGGGTGTTGAATCACCAAACTTTGGGTTAGTAGCCAAGTCCTGAATCACGGCACCATTCGGGCTCCTCAATGACTGCAGAACAGCCCACCACTGTAATGGTCGCCCAGTTGTTTAACTCGTGGTCTCATTAGGTATTTGGATTGTTTCCTATTCCCAGTATTATCAATAGCTCAATGTACAAAACTTTTACTTCAGAATATTTTCCTTATGATAGCCTTCTAGAAGCATTCTGGCACCTGCACCAGTCAGCAGAGGCAATGATATAAGGCTCTTGTTACAATTAATTAAAGCCTCATATTCTCATGTTGGGGGCTATCGTAGCTGAACTTGAATCAAGGCATTTTGTAGGAATCCTTGAGGAGGCTGTGTGTGCAGTACTGATGGGAAGGGATGGGCTCGGCCCGGGGGCCGAGCAGCGTTTGGGGAAAGTACCCCAGATTCTGGTCCTGACTCTAAAAATTCCCAAACCTGCCCTTTTGTTAGTTTCCTTCACTGTTGGGGCTTCAGCTAGAAGAAGCCTGCCAATGATTTTCAAAGTCATTTTCATTTCCTATTGTATGACGTGTTTACTTGTAAGGATTGAGTAAGAGTGGATCATGACGTATTAAGTGTGCTAATCTTCTGTTTCAGTTCCTTCCACTTCCCACTGTGAGTGGCGCTGCCACAGTGATCATCTTTTTTGCATAAATATTTGTGCCCATCCCTGATTCCTTAATCAGGTTGGAGCCCTGGAAGTGGAATTAATAGTCAATAATTATGAACATTTTAACAGCTATTCATATTGCTAAATTATTTTCCTGAGATATTGTAGCGATTTCAGAGTTGTAGTAAACATTTTTTAAACCTGTTTGTATATAATATCAATATGCGCACAAGTTCCAACACTATGCCTTACAACTTTAAGACGTATCAAATGCTATCTCAGTAATACCGGATGAGGAAACTGAGGCTCAGGTCATGGGAACAAGTCATTTTCTCAAGTTAAGGGAGATAAGAGAGGACAACGCAGACGCTTGAACCAAGCATCTTGGATCCCTGCCCACTGCTCTTCTCACCTCAACGTGATACTGTCGGTATTCAATATATTTGTGACTTTTAGAACTTGACAGTGGGAAGCTAAAACATGCATTACAAACTTAATTATAGACTATGAGAAACAACAAAACCCACATGGAAGAAGCACACCAGCCTGTCCCGACTCAATCGCTGAGGACAAAGTGGGTGCATAAGCAAAAGTGGTGAAGAAAGCTGACGTGCCCAGCTGTCAAAAGATATAGAATCTGGGGTCTTAAAAGCTTGACGATAAACAGGCAGCCATCTAGCTAAGAAACAACAAAACCCACATGGAAGAAGCACACCAGCCTACCCCAACACGAATGCTGAAGACAAAGTGGGTGCATAAGCAAATGCGGTGAAGAAAGCTGACGGTGCCCAGCTGAGAAGATATAGAATCTGGGGTCCTATAGGGGCCATATAACTGAGAAACAACAAAGCCCACATGGAAGAAGCACACCAGCCTGTGAGATCACAAGGCGTCGAAGGGATCAGGAATTAGGCATCAAAGACACCCCCCCCCAAAAAATTATAGCATTGTGAATGAGGGGGAGTGAGGAGTCGGGACTCAGGGCCCATCTGTGGGAAATTTGACATCCCCTTGCAAAAGGGCTGCAGGGAGGAGACAAGCCAGTCAGGGTGTGGTGTAGCAACAATGAAATATACAATTTTCCTCTAGTTCTTGAATGCTTCCTCCCCACCACTATCATTATCCCAATTCTACCTTACATATCCAGCTGACCAGAGGATGTACACTGGCACAGATAGGAATTGGAAATACAGGGAATCCAGGACAGATGAACCCCTCAGGACCAGTGGTGAGAGTGGCGATATTGGCAGGGTGGAGGGAAGGTGAGGGAGAAAGGGGAAACAGATTACAAGAATCTACATATAACCTCCTTCCTGGCGGACGGACAGTGGAGAAGTAGGTGAGGGGAGATGTTGGATTGTGTAAGATATGACAAAATAGTAATAATTTATAAATCATCAAGGGTTCAGGGGTGAGGGGAATCAGGGAGGGAGGGGGGGAATTAAGAGCTGATACCAAGGGCTCAAGTAGAAAGCAGGTGTTTTGAGAATGATGAGGGCAACATTTGTCCAAATGTGCTTGACACAATTGGTGTATGTACAGATTGTGATGAGTTGTATGAGCCCCTAATAAAATGATTTAAAAAAATTACAGACTGGATACTTGTGTGCAAAGGTGAAATTTTATTGTCTTACTTGTAAACTCTTCAGCCAATCTGCAATGCATGTCTACTTTTATTACAATTAATGGCATGGACATATGACCCTACTTATTAAACAAGGATGGATTATGTCCCTTCTTTTTGTGTGGCTCCTTCAGCATGATCCTGGGCCCTTGGAGTGGATGGAGCACTGTGTATACAACTGTATGTCCACAAAAGTGTGTAGGCGTAGATTCTTGGTATTTCCGGAGTACTCAAAGAGAACCTAAACTTGCAGTTGATACTTCAAACACTCGTTATTAACACTTGCAGATGTAAAATCTGTAACTCTACCTGTTATACTCATTGTGAGTCTTTCCTGTGGCATCTTCTCTAATACCAACGGAGATTTGCTGACCTCACCCTCGGGCTACATATGTTGTCGTTTTATAACTTGATATTTGATCACATTCATAAATAGTAAAAAATTAATAGGTTACATGGATTTAAAATGTGACTAATAGCCCTAATTTACTCAAAGCATTAAGTATTATGTTTGGTTCTTTGTTTTGACTAATGTGACAACTGCACAAGGGCTTAATTGAAGAAAACCCTTGTCATGTTGCTAATTTCTCCACTGTGAAGGCAGATAACAGCCAGCCATGTAAACCGGTGTTTCCTCCCCTGCCACTCTTGGAGGATCAGCCAGGAGAGAAATGAATAGATAATTGGACTGATGTTGTGCTAAAATACTTTTGACGTGTCAAGTGGCCCTTTTAATTGCAGAAGTGGAGGTAAAATTAGAACAATGAAGAATGGCAAACAACAGACAAAAGTTAAAACAGCTAAACTAGAGGAAGCTTCACAAATGAGATCTTAGGCAGAGCAAAGGCCCTCGCCTGCTGGGGCTATAATCTCTAACATTCTCTTTTGATTAATTATCCACAAATAATAGAGATTTTAAAAACTCATTCTTCTAAATTGAACTGTGTCCTCCTAAAAGTAATGCTGAATCTTAACTACCTGATGCTTTTCAATGTGGCCTTGAAGATGCAATCAGTTAACACATGGTGCCGAATCCAATCTGAATGGAATCCTTATTTTTTGAAAAAAGGACAAGAGATAGCGGTTCACACAGGGGACACAGACATGTGATAACAGAGGCACTGTGTGAAACTGCAGGCAGAGGAAGGCCAGTGATCACATGAAACATTCTCACAGCCTCAGCGGTTAGGCAGGTTAAACAGGATGTCTAAATCGATTGCAGACTCCTAGTGAACAAAACTGTGAAGCAATAAATTTCTGTCCTTATAAGCCACCCAGTCCATTTTCCTTTGCTATCACTGTGCTGGGAAACCAATATGCCAAAGATTTTAAAATGACTTTGTCACAGATACCTCCTACAAAAAGAAACCACCTACACATCTGGAGTAACGTGATTTCTACATGCATTTCCATAAAACATACTTTTTATTTAGATACGTACCCGGAGTGCCAAATTGAATGCAGTTTTCCAAAGTCCTAGCATAATCAGAATCATTTAATTTAATGACATGAAGACTGTTGGTCTTTTCCATATTCTTGACCCATTTATTTGCCTGACCTTGAGGATCTATCATTAGGGGCCATCTTCTTGCATTCCTGAAACGGAAAAGAAAGATGATGCCGGTCAAGCCATGGTTTGTCTCTACTCTATCGAATCATGCACATATGTTGGATGACAAAGACCACAGAAGAATCAATGCGTTTGGATGGTGGTGCTGGTGAATATTCAAGGTATTCTGAACTGCCAGAAAAACAAACAAATCTGTCTCAGAAGAAGTACAGCCCAAATGCTCCTTAGAAGCGAAGATGGTGAGAGATTGTCTCCTGAACTTTGGACATGGTATCAAGAGAGACAAATCCCTGGAAAGAGATCATGCTTGGTAAAGGAGAGGGTCAGGGGAAATAAGAAGCCCTTCACTGAATGAAATGGGTTGACCTAGGAGCTGCAGCAATGGGCGTGAGCATAACAATGGCGGTGAGGAGGGTGCAGGATGAGGCTGTGTCTCCGTCTGCTGTCCCGAGAGTTGCTGTGAATCAGAAGCAACTTTATGGACCTGACAACGATGCAGGGCATCAGAGCGGCAGAAGGTAACTGGGGTGGTCTATTTTTGTTATTGGGAACGGAACCGCCTAGGCCTTACTTACTGGCATGGTTACTTGTGGACTCTGGAGTGTAAATAACAAGTCAGCGGGAGAATGGCCAAATTTGAAGACTCAGCAGTAAGACAGAGGTGTTTCTTGTTTTATTTTTCTTGTCTTTTGGCCTTGACCTGAGAATGGGCTAAAGAAAGAAGCCATGCGGCAGGGAGAAGCAACAAAAGCACTGACCGGAGTCCTGTGCCAAGGGGACCGTGAGCGAGAGAGTAAACCTTGTTTTTTCTCTTTATTCTTTTCTTGACCTGCTCCAAGGTCAATGCCAGTGACAGGACTGTTGGTGGAAGCAGTTATCTAAAACACTGAGCTCAAACAAAGCTTTCTGGGTAAAATAACTGAGAAAAGGGTCTTTGTTGTGCAGAGGAGGAGCTGTGGCGGTGGTGTGAGTTAAGAATTGGACTGCTAGTGGGCAGAGTAAGATATGAAAAAAAATTATAATTTATCAAGGGATCATGAGAGAAGGAGGGTGGAAGGGGTTGGGAAATGAGCTGATACCAAGGGCTCAAGTAGAAAGAAAATGTTTTGAAAATGATGATGGCAACATACATACAAATGTGCTTGACATAATGGATTGTGGTAAGAGTTGTACGAGCACCCAATAAAATGACTTCAAAAAAAAAAAAGAATTGGACTCTGAGGGATAACTATGAGAATGTCTACTCCCATAAAGTTGTATAGTCTCAGAAATCCTATGTGGGGTCATTATAAGTCTATATCAACTCAATGGCTAGAGTTGTTGCTTTTCTTTGTTTTTGTGTTTTCTGGTTTGGTTGTGCAGACAGTGTGAGGGTAATCCCAATATTTTTGTCTATGCCATGCAATCAAACAAGCTACCATGTGTTACAGAGCTCCATACGGCTTTCTTAGCAGAACTCTATTACAATAGGAGATTGCCGGGCCTTTCTTCCATGGCACTAGTGGGTGGATTTGAGCTGTGACCATTAGGTTAACAGTTGACTGCAAATCATTTGTGCCACCAGGGCACATTTTTGCCCTTATACCCATAAATGCACCATTGAGTCTATTCTGACTCCTAGGGACCGAGAAGGAGTGAGCAGACCTGCTCACTAAGGTTTTCAAGTCTGTAAATCTTTACAGCAGCACTTTGACTCCTTGTTCTTCAGTGGAGCAGCGGAAGGGCTTAAACCTTTCCATTAAAAACCTAACACAGAAGAAACAATGAAGTAATCTGTATACTGTTGACAAGCCACCCTCCGTAAATACAGTATTATAAGTATATTAAAAATAAATTCTATAAAAGTATATATCATGCAAAATAAGAATTCTTAGGGATAAAAATGAACATTACTTAATAAAAAATTGATCAGGAAGACATAGCAATCCCGATGTGTATGCATATAACAGCAGAGCTCCAACATATAAAAAGCAAAATCTGATGGAGCTGCAGAGAGGAATGGACTTCAAGAATTCTTACAGTAATCAAACATCGACCAGTGGTTCTCAACCTGTGGGTCGTGACCCCTTTGGGAGTTGAACAACCCTTTCACAGGGGTTGCCTAAAACCACCGGAAAATGCATATTTTCAAAGGTCTTAGGAACCGAGACACCACTCCTCTATTCGTCTCCAGGCAGGTCCACCCACAAGGAGATCCACCCACCTTCGAGTACCCAGTGTGATGACATCATCGCGCCAACCCCATCACATCCACCCCGTACAAATACAGGTGAATGTGACAGTGTTGGCTCAATAATGTACTTATGTGGACCAGTCACACATGTGTAGACAGCAGCTACTATGTAGAGAGCAGCTGCTGTGTTGAAAGCAGCTGCTGTGTGGAAAGCAGCAGTACTGGAGGTAAAACGACACTTCATGAATTATAATTACTGGGTAAATGTAAAATCATGTACTGTAAAACCATCAACCATTGCCAAATATATATATACAGTATATACATATACCCTGGAGACTTAATCTGGATGCTAATCAGTCTTTTTTATTCAGCTGTAGTTGATGTGACTACTGCCCCCTCATGATAATAACAGGTATGTTAAAAAAAACAAACAACAACACAGGATGGTAAATCATAGGAAACTTTAATGAACTGTATTGACTAAACTATGCCATGTATCATCTTTTGTATTATTAAAGCTATTGTTATACATTGTTTTCATTAGCAAACCATCCCATGACAATGGATCGTGTAGAAAAGAACATTAAGAAAAAAATATATAGTGAGGATCTTTTACAATATGATTTTACCTCAATAATTACAGCAGAAATTGAGAAACTGAAATTGGTTATTTGTTGCGAAGTTTTATCAGCTGAATCTATGAAGCCGAATACACTAAAATGCCATTTTGATAGCAAGCATCCAAGCTTTGCTGGCAAGGATACCAACTATTACCAGGTATCAAGCACCAAAGAACAAAAAAATCATATCATCGTTAATGAGGGGGAGTATGGGATGGGGACCCAATGCCCATCTGTAGACAAGTGGACATCCCTTGCAGAGGGTTAGTGGAGAGGAGATGAGTCACTCAGGGCACAGTGTAGCATCGATGAAATACAACTTTCCTCTAGTTCTTAAATGCTTCCTCCCCCCTCCCACTATCATGATCCCAATTCTACCTTACAAACCTGATTAGACCAGAGGCTGTACAGTGGTGCAGATAGGAACTGGAAACACAGGGAATCCAGGACAGATGAATCCCCCAGGACCAGTGGTGAGAATGATGATACCAGGAGGGAGGAGGTAAGGGGGGGTAGAGAAGGGGAACCGATTACAATGATCTATACATAACCTCCTCCCTGGGGGATGGGCAACAGAAAAATGGGTGAAGGGAGACGTCGGACAGTGTAAGACATGATAAAATAATAATTTATAAATTATCAAGGGTTCATAAGGGAGGGGGGAGCGGGGAGGGAGGGGGAAAAATGAGGAGCTGATTCCAAGAACCCAAGCGGAAAGCAAATGAGGGCAATGAATGTATAAGTGTGCTTTACACAATTGATGGATGTATGGATTGTGATAAGAGTTGTATGAGCCCCCAATAAAATGATTTTTTTTAAAAAAAGGATACCAACTATTTTAGAAGCAAAGCTGATGGACTCAAGAAAGCCAGACCTGACACTGGTGGCAAGTACCACAAACAAAAGGTAGCAGCCAATGACGCTTCATACTTGGTGGCTCTCAGAATCGCCAGAGCAATGAAACCTCACACCACTGTTGAGGATTTGCTGTTGCCAGCGGTCAAAGACATTGCTCTAGTTATAATCAGAGACGAATTTGTTACAAAATTGAGTACAATTTCCTTATCTAATGACATTGTCCGCAGAAGAAGAGATGACACGTCTGCTGATATTCTTGATCAGGTCATCCAGGAAATTAAATCTGCTCCACTTCCAATATTTAGCATCCAGCTAGATGAATCTACAGACGTTGCAAACTGTTCAGTTACTGGGTTATGTGAGGTATATTAATGATGGCGACTTTAAAGATGAGTTGGTTTTTTGCAAACCTCTTGAAACGACAATTACTGCACATGATGTGTCTGACACCGTTGGCTCAGTTCTGAAAGAGCACAAGGTCTCTTGGGAAAAGGTTTGCACAGATGGTGCTCCAGCTCTGCTAGGATGTCCATCTGGATTTCAACGTTTGGTACTGAATGAGCCACCAAAAGTCATGGGAACTCATGTATGATTCATCGGCAAATATAAGCAACGAAGATGCTTCCACAAGAGCTACAAGAAGTAGTCAAAAGCGTCGTAAGTTCTGTCAATTTTATTAAAGCGAGCACTTTAAACAGTCGGCTGTTTTCCCAACTGTGCAACCAGTTGGATGCGCCGAATGCTCTGCTATTTCACACGGAAGTGAGATGGTTGTCAACAGGAAAAGTTTGAAAACGTGTTTTTCAGCTTCACGATGAACTCAAAACATTTTTTAATCAGAAAGCAAGAGGGCAGTTTGAATTACTTTTCAGCGATAAAAGTGAACTGCAAAAAATAGCTTCCTTGGATTGCCATCTTTGCCATCTTGAATGAGTTAAATTTATCACTGCAAGGACCAAATGCAATGTACCTTGATTTGTCTGAAAGATCTGATCATTCCAAATGAAACTTCAGCTTTGGCAAAAAAAAAAATTTTTGGATGAAAATAAAATTGACATGTTGCCTACCTTATCTGCTTTCTTTGAGGAACATGACATTGAAGCAGACAAAAGGATTATGATAATTTCTGTGCAAGAACACTTGCACATGCTTGCAGACAAAATTTCATCGTACTTTCCAAATCTACCTGACACCCCATTTGCACTTGCCAGAAGCCCGTTCACAGTCAAAGTTGTAAATGTTCCTGAGACAGCACAAGAGGAGTTCATTGAACTTATTAACCACAATGCAGTGAGAACTGATTGCTCTACAATGCCAGTTACAAAACTCTGGAGCAAGTGTTTGCAGTCATGTCCTGTTCTGTCTGAGACTG